CTTCTGGGCTCAGGCAGTCCTCTCACCTCCACCTCCCAAAGTACTGGGATTACAAGTGTGAGCCACCACTCCCGGCCTATTTGATTTCATCTTTATTAAACTTACCAGAGTATATTTGGGGGTTGGGAGTGTCTATGTGGTTTACTCATGTTTCCCAGTGCCTGGCACAAAATAACCATGCAGAAAATACTTTTTGAATGAATGTGTATTTATTATTATTTTTTCCACTCCTGGTTTTGAAGTTTAGTATTGTTTCTGTTCTTATCTAGGATTTTTAACTTTTATACTTATTTTACCAAAGTCTAAAGTTAACTAATAGCTGTACTTTTTTTTTTAACATAATATAGGAAATTTAGGAAACTTGAACTCCTCTTATCTCCTTCTGATTCATGATGTTATTGTTATTTTTACATCATTTGATTTTAACCTTACAATTTGTTTGTATTGTTTTATACAATTACTATTCATTTTTATTAGACCACATATAACACTGTAGGCTTTCATTCCTTCTTGCAGCTCAGAAATGCTATTTGAGTACACTTACATTCTGCCTGAAGGATATCCTGTAGTATTTCATTTAGAGAAGGTCCGTGCTAACATATTTGAAGTTTTTAATTGTCCAAACATATCTTTATTTTGTTGTCAATTTTAAAAGATATTTCTGCTAAGTATAGAGTTCTAGGTTAACAGATATTTTTCTTTTGGTGTATTAAAGGTACATGGGCTGGGCTCGGTGGCTCAGCCTGTAATCCCGCACCTTTGGGAGGCTGAGGTGAGTGGATTGCCTGAGCCCACGGGTTCAAGACCCGCCTGGGCAGCGAGACCTCATCTCTACAATAAATCAAAAATGAGTCGGGCGTGGTAGCGCACGCCTGTCGTTCCAGCTACTTGGAAGGCTGAGCGGAAGGATCGCCGGAGCCCAGCAGGTCGAGGCTGCGGTGGCCAGGAGCGGCCACTGCACTCCAGTCTGGGTGACAGTGTGAGACTCCAACTCAAAAAAAAATAAAAAATAAATAAAAATAAAGGTACACGGTATTCTGGTTTTCATTGTTGCTCTTAGAAAGTATGCTGTCAGTTTATAATCCCAGTTCTTTGAGAGACCAAGGCAGGAGGATTGTTTGAACCTGAAGTTCAAGACCCACCTGGGTAACATAGCAAGATCCCCATCTCTGCAAAAAAAAAAAAAAAAAAGCATTTAAAAATTAACTGGAAGTGGTCACACACACCTGTAGTCCTAGCTGCTCCAGATGCTGAGATATGAAGGATTACTTTAACCCAGGACCTGAGTTCAAGGTTATAGTGAACTATGATTGTGCCATTGCACTTTATTCAGCCTGGGTGGCAGAGCGAGACCCTATCTCTAAAAAAAAAAAGGAAGGAAGGGGAGGAAGGAAGGAAGGGAAAGTCATCAACTTAATTTCTGCTTTTTTTCCCCGGCTATTCTTTAGGAATTTTCCTCTTTTTTGGTATCCTGTTGTTTCAATATGAAATATCTATTTAAGGATTTGTTTGTATTTGTTCTGACTGGAACTCATTGGGCTTCATAATTTGGTAGATTGCTTGCTGTGTTTTGTTGATTTTAGAAATGATCCTTTCATATATTCCTCTTTCCTACTGTTTCTTTTTCTTCTTTCTGAAACTTTGAGTAGATCTGTTATGCCCTCTTACTCTGTCCTCAGTGTGTCAAACTTTATTTCATATTTTCCATTAAATTGTCTCTCTGAGCTGCATTCTGAATAATTTCTTAGGACTTCATAGTTCATTAATGATCTCTTCAGCTTTATCTAATCTGTTGTTAAGTCTTTCCTATAATTTTAGATTTCAGCAATTGTTTTTCATCTCTAGAAATTGTATTTGATTCTTTTTTTAAAAGTGTCTCTGAATTACAGATATTTATTTGAGCCTTAGGACCAAGGTTATGTGTTCCTCCAGAGAGAATTTGCTTGTCTGCAACATGAAAGACTCTACATTTGGAATCATTTCAACCTAAATTCATAGCTTGATTAATTTTCCTTTGAGCTCCCAAGAAATGTAAGTTTAGGGTACAAATTTGCATGAAAGTTTCCTTTTGGTTAGAACTTTTGGGGGACTTTTCTCCTTCCTATGCTAGATACGAAGGAAACTTTCCTTGTAGTCTTCTGAAGGGAGGAGTGGTAGATGGAGCAGGTTATTTTAGGCTCATAATAATAGATTACTGCAGTGAGCATATCCTGTTGACTTCCCCCCTTGGGCTTTGCCTCTGGCCTACTACCCCAGGCTGACTGAACCAAAAGCTCAGTTTCACAGGGTTAGATTTTTGGCCTAGCTAGTCCTCATCGTCTTGCCAACTTCTAAATTTTTTAAAGAAAATATACTTGTTCATTGGGCATTTTCTATAGTAAGGTGGTTTATGTTAATCGTTCTCCAATTTATACATTAAGCTTGTTTCTTTAGGATTTTACTATTATCAATAACACTTATAAACAGATTTCATGGGTAAAAATGTTATCTCATTTATTAGTTTATAGTGCCTTGATTGCTATCATGATGTATTTTCCAGGTGTAAAATGTCTATTCTTAGTCATTTAAATATTTTCTTAAAAGTTTATATGATCACTTTACAAAATTAAGATACTAATCCATTGTCTAACAGGTTACTTACTTTGGTAAAATATTTCTGGTTTTGCTTATTGTGTAGTGTAGATTTATAGAAATTTTAAAAATGATTCTTTTGGCAAATTTTAACAAATGTTCTTATTAATAATATTTTACATGGAAATAATTGTTTAAAATTTGGCCTTGATAATTATTTGCCAGTTATTTTATTTATCTCTAATAAATGTTCTGTGAGTTTTCCCAAAATATTTCCTCATTTCTCTAAAACCTTCCGCTAGTGTTCTGCCTTACCACCCCCCCATAGTCATCTGTATTAGCCACTTTCCTGTGTTTAAACCACTCCCCCACTCCCAAATCAGTAGTTTATAGCAATTCACATTTATTTCTTTCACATGCTTGTATGTACTGTGAGTAAACTATTGCAGCCCTCCTTCACATGTCTCTTTGATATAGGGCCTAGGTTGACAGCATCAGTTCTGTTTGAGGCATAGCATTTTTGTGGCAGAGAGTAAAGACTAAGGAGCAAGTGTAAACCTAATGCTTCTTAAGGTTTCTGTGTAGAGGTATCATGTCATTTCTGTTTTTATTCCTTGGCAAAAAACATGACATGATCAAGCCTAGTGTGAATTGCTTGGAAATATTTGCTCCTCCCACAGAAGGCAAGTCACATGACTGGCCAGTTACATGGAAAGGCAAGTGAGTATTTAGCAACAATAACACATTCTCTACTATATCTCTCCTTGGTTTAACTTTATGTTTAGGCTTTCTAGTGTAAATTTTCATAATTGCTTATATCTATCTTAAAGTCTCTTTGTTAAGTCTTCCTTTGTGCCTTAAATATAGTTCTTCTGTTATAAAAGTGAATCATTTTACCTAGGCTATTGAGCCTACTTGAATCTTAAGTTTAGCAAGGACAGACCTTCTTGACTGCTTTGTTCAGTGATTCCTCACTAGAAGAATGTTTAGCTCCAGGATGTTTAGCATTCAACACGTATTTGTTGAATGAATTTCACTCTCCCTTCTTATTCTATCAATTACTCTATCAGTTATTCTCATTTTTCGTGTCTTTACATAGTGTCAATTGTCTCTGCTAGTTCTATCCCTGAGTCTCTTATGGGTATATTTTCTTGAATTACTATAGTAAATTACAGTTACATATTTAACAAATTATGTTAAATAACTCTCTTTAATGAAGACAATAAAATTATGCGTTTTTAATTCCTCTGGGAAATATAGCCTACATACTTCTGCATATAAATATGCTCATCTCTCTATCATTATTTTTTAAAATCCTTCCCTTTGACTTTAGCAATGTAGCTTCTCTGTTTCTCTAAAACTACTGCTTCTACTGCTTTACCTTTTTCATTTCTCATTCTCTTTGACCTCTATTGAATGTCTTCCCCATTCCCCTTTTAAAAGTCTGTTCCTCTAGATTCTGAGGTGCTATACTTCACTTTTTTTTTCCTATTTCCAAGGCTGTTCTCTTCTTCTTTTTTGTAGAATATTCCTTTTCCTTCTACCACTTTAGTATACTAATACCACCAGCCTCTATCTTCAGCTCTCTTCATTTCTTGTCTTGTGTCCTTTTTAGTGGAGCTTTCGTTTGTGTGGCTTTCACATTTATTTCTACCCAGATGACTTGCAAAATTGTGTGTTTTATAGTAATTATTCTGAGTTTGCCCCTTTATTTCCACTTCTGGGCATTTCCACTTGAATATCTTACAATCATCTCAAACTTGATAGGCCCCAAACCAAGTGAATTATTTTTCTACTAAAACAGACTCCTCTTTTGTAATTAACTCCTGTTTTTGTTGATGACACACAGTCACTTCTTAAAGTAAAGAAAGAAGACCTACATTTTTTTTAACATTTAGTACACAGTAAATACTGAATGCTGTGTTTTTTGATTATATAATGTCTAGCTCAAGTTTTGCTTCAAGATAAAACATCTCCAGCTGATGACAGTGAATCCTCTGCAATCCCTTCCTCTTGGTTCTCCTTGCAATACGTTTTAATTTATGCCACTAGACCCTCAGGATGTGAATGCTCTGTAATTCATACTTTTAGTTTATATGCCTCTCAAGGGCAAGGATTTTATTTTTTAATATCAGCACAGTACCCCATAGATATAGTATAATTTAACAAGTAATTCGTGATATTTCATAATGAAATAATGTTTTAAATAAGGGCAAGAATCTTAACCTACTTTGTAATATCTAAGCTATACTCTTGATCCTTGAACCCAGTTAAAAAGAGCCTCTTGGAAATGGCAGAGGCTCTTTACTTATGCATTAAAGATAGAATCTGTTTATCAGTAATATACTCTCATATAGCCATTTTATATTGCTTTGATAATCATATTTACAGAAAGTAGTGTATTTATTTTAGCTTCTCTTTTCCATTAGGTGCACCAGGTATAATTTCTTCACCATACGCAGGGGCTGCTGGATTTGCCCCAGCCATTGGATTTCCTCAAGCTGCAGGTGACTCATAAGTTGAATTTGAAATGATATTTTTGATGGAGTTCTGTGTTTTCTAGGAACTTACAAGATGGAGCATGTTACCATGTTTGAAGGATTTATAATAAAAGCATTTATGTATGTCAGCCATAGAAATGACTCCTATGGGTGGGTCAGGCATGGTGACTCACTCCTGTAATTCCAGCACTTTGGGAGGCGGAGGCAAGAGGATTGCCTGAGCCCAGGGGTTCGAAAACAGCCTCTGCAACTTGGTGAGACCTCATCTCTACAATTAAATAAATAAATTAGCCAGGCATGGTGGCGGGCGCCCTGTAGTTCAGCTACTTTGGAAGGCTGAAGCGGAAGGGTTGCCTGAGTCCAGCAGGTTGAGGCTGAAGTAGAGTAGCTGTGAGCAAGCATGCCACTGTACTCCAGTCTGGGTGACAGAATGAAACTTTGACTCAATAAAAGAAAGAAATGTTTTTAAGTCAGAGTCTCATTCTGTCATCCAGGCTGGAGTGCAGTGGCCCACTCACAGCCACCGCAGCCTCTGCCTGCTGGACTTAGGCAACCTTTCCATTTCAACCTTCCAAGTAGTTGGAACTACAGGCACAAGTCATCATACCCAGCTAATTTTTTTGGTATACTGTAGAGATGAAGTCTCGCCAAGTTGCCCAGGCTGGTCTCAAACCTGTGAGTTCAGGCAGTCCTCTTGCCTCCACCTCCCTAAATGCTGGGATTACAGGCATGAGTCACTGCATCTAGAGCAAGGTTCTTAAGTTCAATAATCTTGTTATATGTTCTGCATTATTTATACTTGCCATTGGCACAAATAACCACAAGTTACCTACACTAAATAACCTTAGATTGTCTTTTCAGTTGTTATATAAGATGTATGAGCTGCTTCTATCTTTACTGATAAGTTTATCAGTTATGTGTTGAACAAACATGTCTTTGTGTCTTCAGTGCCTTTGATAGCACTTAACATGTAGTATGCTGCCAGTAAATATTTGAATTAACAAACATTTACTATTCAACTTCATAAAATATTTTGTCCATAATGTATTCAGAAGATTACCATAGAAGGATGTGCTGGCTGTTTATTTCAGGGAATATGTATTTTTTTTCTCTTTAATAATGAAGATAATCGAGAGAGTGGCGTTGATTAATTCTTCGATAATGACTCCTTTTCCAACTGATAAACAAAATGAATTTGATCATAATTTAAGAAGAAAAATATTAACATTGTGATTTTGTCTCTAGTGCCTAAAGAAAACACTGAGGTTGGTGATTAGAATGGCAGCGTGTTAAGACTACTCTACATATTATATTTCCAGCTTCCAGCTGATTCATGATTATAATATTTTAAATTACAACACAGCCACTTTCTGGCAATAATCTTTATATCCTAGCCTTCAAATTCTTGGAGTTTTGACTACTATCTTGTCAACAGAGAGTATGGAGTTAACTAAAAAGGAAAAAGTAATATGAAGTTTGAGGTTTTAAGTTTTAGTATTTTGGTGGTTTCTAATGCATTTTCATATGTTTAATTAAGTGAATATTCTACCTGTTCTGTTAAAAAAACAAAACAAAACATAACTTTATTTATTTGAAGCTCCACAAAGTTTAATTGGTGGATATTTGGAAGTGGTGATTTATGTTTTTCTAAGTCTAGCAGAGGATCCATACATACTCACCCACTCGCAAAGTTATGCTGAAGTTGCAGGGTTAGGTTGGAGGGGCATGGGAAGAGGTCATGTTAAGGACTGTTGAATATTGATTTCATATTCATTCTCGGCCTGAAAATGTGTTCTGCACAATTTTAAAATGGAGCAGTCTAGTCTGGATGATGATAGTTGTGACTTTCATAGATTGTCAAGCAGAATAGGCTGAATGTAAAATATATTTTAATTTCATAATATGTGGTAAAGTGGCCAGACTGTCTGTTATAAAGAATTTTGGACTTAATCAATAAATTAAGGAATTTGTTCTTTTTACATAAACTAGAGGTTTTTGTCTTAGATAATGTTAAACCTGAGAACACAGATAAATAGTGGGAAAGTGTGCTATTTTAAATGTAGTGTCAATATTCTGGTATTATTGAGTTTTCAGTAGTTCCATAACATCTTGGAAAGTAAAGAGCTCTGAAAATTTCTGCGACAAAAGAATGTTGAATTGTGTAAATCTATTGCTTTTTGTAATAATGTTCATATAGGCCTGGGCTCGGTGGCTCAGCCTGTAATCCCACGCTTTGGGAGGCCGTGTTGAGTGAATTGCCTGAGCCCGCGGGTTCGAGACCCGCCTGGGCAACTTGGCGAGACCTCATCTCTACAATAAATTAGCCGGGCATGGTAGCGCACGCCTGTAGTTCCAGCTACTTGGAAGGCTGAGGCGGAAGCATCGCCAGAGCCCAGCAGGTCGAGGCTGCGGTGGCCGGGAGCGGCCACTGCACTCCAGTCTGGGCGACAGAGTGAGACTTCAACTCAAAAAAAAAAATAACAATGTTCATATAACATTTTTGCAAGGCTACAAAATGTTTTTCCCATATAAAATGTCGTATAGCATTACCTAGTGTGCATCTTTGTCTTCTGCTGAAGGACTTTTAAAAGATAGATACCTAATTTTATGGTAGAAGTCAATGTGAACTTTATATACACTTGATAGACAGATGCTGGAATATATTTCAAGAAACATAAGAAGTGCTTTTAGTTTATAGACCTTCTGAAAAGCCCAATAACTTTAAAACCAAGGGTTCATTTATTCTACAAATTACAGTATGTATAATTAGAGTATTGAGTATAATAATGTCAACAGTGAGGAACTTGGCTTCCAGACAGACTCTGTAGGGCGGAAAACTGGCCTTTAATATCCTTATGGTAGCCTTGACACATTTTCTTTCTTGATTTTTCTTTTTTTAAAGGCCTGTCAGTTCCACCTGTTCCTGGAGCTCTTGGTCCTCTCACAATCACGTCCTCTGCTGTCACTGGAAGGATGGCCATTCCTGGGGCTAGTGGTATACCAGGAAATTCTGTTCTACTGGTCACCAATCTCAATCCTGATGTGAGTTGAAAAGTATTATAAGTGCATATCCTTCAGGAGGAGGTGTTGTAGCTTCTGATCTAGGATTGTATTCAGATTAAAATGCTTAATATTTTTAAGGATTTTTATTCAAAGTTATCACTAGTATATATAGAAGCATATAAAATCGTGCTTTAAACAGAATCAACTGTTATTTTAAATTTTTGCTCAAACACTTATATTTTGTGTTATCTTTTTCAAACAGCTTATCACACCACATGGGCTTTTTATCCTATTTGGTAAGTTCATTTTTGCTGTTTTTTATATTGTCTGTAAGTGTGAGCTGAGCGCATTTCAGTTATTTAGTAATACTTACTGATTACTTCTGTGTGCCAAGTAGTGTGTTCGACACTGGGAATAAAATAGTAAATAAGATTTACTAAGCAATTACAGTAATGGCTTATCATAGGTGAAATAATGGAGTTTTTTTGTTTTGCTTTGTTTTGTTTTGAGTTGGAATCTCACTCTGTCACTCAGGCTGGAGGGCAGTGGCACGCTCCTGGCCACCGCAGGCTTGACCTGCTGGGCTCCAGCAATCCTTCTGCCTCAACCTTCCAAGTAGCTGGAACTACAGGCATGTGCTACCACGCCCAGCTAATTTTTTTCATGTATTGTAGAGATGAGATCTCACCAAGTTGCCCAGGCGGGTCTCGAACCCTCAGGCTCTGGCAGTCCACTCACCTCAGCCTCCCAAAGCACAGGGTTGCAGGCTGAGTCACCGAGCCCAGCTGAAATAACGGTTTTAAAGGGGAGTATAAGGCAGGGAGACCTAACCTAAGCTGAAGGAATCAATAGAAATAATATTTAAGCTGGCTTGTGAAAAGTGAGTAAGAATCAACCAGGCAATTGCGGGGGGGGGAGATCTTGGCACATGGAAGTTGAAGAAAACCTAGTGGAGAACCTAACAGAGATACATGTTGAAGCCGGGCAGATTACACTGGGGTTAGATCATGAAGAGCTTGGTAAGCTATTTTATGGAGTTTGGTTTTTATCCTAAGCACAATGGGAAGCCATTGAGTAGTTTTAAGGCAAGAGAGTAACATAATGAGAGTCAGATTTTTAATTATTTTAATTAAAATAATTTTTTTTAGAATCAGGGTCTTGCTCCTTCGCCCAGACTGGAGTGCAGTGACATAATCATATCTCCCTGCAGCCTCAAACTTCTGGGCTCAAACAATCCTCCTGCCTCGGCCTCCCAAAATGCTGGGATTACAGGCATGTGCCACTGTCCCTGGCTGATTTTTAAATTCTTTATAGAGTCTCACTATGTTGCCCAGGCTGATCTTGAACTCCTGGCCTCAAGTGATCCTCCCTCCTTGGCCTTCCAAAATGCTGGAATTATAGGCGTTCTCCACCATGCCTGGCCAAGAGTCAGATTTTAAAACAATGTTCTCTCAGTTAAAAAAAAAAAAAATCAGCATGCATTTCTAATTCATATGGGATTATTTGTAAATTATATTCATCTTTTACTATTCTCCTTATATATAGTATAATATGTGCATATAAGCACAGAAATACAAGAGAAATAAACTAAACAATTTAACTTTCTAAAGAGTTTTATTTATAGCAATTTTCATTTTTCCATCAAAAACTGTATTAACATTTAGTGAGAAATATTATTTACTATGTTTTATTTTCAAAAAATTTTTTTTGCTAGGTGTAGTGGCTCAAACCTGTAATATCAGCACTTAGGGAGGCGGAGACGAGAGAATTGCCTGAGCTCAGGGGTTTAAGACCAGTCTGAGCAACATGGCAAAACCTCGTCTCTAAAATAAATAAAACAATTAGCCGGGCATGGTGGCACATACCTGTGGGTCCAGCTACTTGGAAGGCTGAAGCGAAGGACCACCTGGGCCCAGTAGGTTGAGGCTGCGGTGGCTTTGAGCATGCTATTGCACTCAAGCCTGGGCGACTCAAAAAAAAAAATCTGTTTTAATTCTGATTCTTCTGTATTCCAAGGACGACTTATTTCAGTATTTAATTTTAATGACTGTCATAACTGAAAACGATAGATTATAAGGCTATGCGATCTAAATGGGAGTGTTTCATTTTTGTTGCTTTTCATTAAAGAATTCTTTCACCAAATTTTTCTTCTAATCTGCTAATTTTTATTTTACTTTAGAAAAGTTCAATTTTTAGTGCTAAATTAGTAGATCTTTAAAACTGTTATATTTGAGTTTGTTTACTAAATGGGGTTAAAACTTACTGGTACTTCCCATTGGTAAGATTATTTTTTAAGAAGGTAGAAAATTGTTTCCAAATTTTTTTAAGTAATGCTAGTTTTTTTTGAACAGCATTTTTTGAGGTATAATTTACAACAATACCATTCATCTGCTTTAGGTGTACAACTTAAAGGTTTTTAATAAACTCACACAGTTGTGCTGCCATCACCACAGTCCAATTTTAGAAAATGTCCATCACCCCAAAGAAATCTCTCATGTTCATTTGCAGTTAGTATAAAAATTTATATTAATGATTCATTTATGTAATTTTCAGTAATAAAATTGTGTATTAATAATGCATTTTCTTTTTCGTTCTTTCTTTTTTTTTGGAGAATTTATTGAGAGGACAGAAAAACTACCACAGTGGAAGGCGACTGGAGAAGGGTTGCCAACAATGCACTTTCATGTGACTTTTTTCTAACCAGAAAAGCATGCTTTCTACTAAAAGTAGTTAATTTGGGGCAACCCTTTGGGACCTGTCCCGCTGCCAGGAGCTTTCCTGTCTTCTTAATAAATTCCTACTTTCTTAAAACAAACAAAAGTAGTTAATTTCTCACTCATTTAAAAATATCATCCATACTTTGAAGAATGAATTGTGTGTGTTTATTTTTTATAGAATATCTACTTCAGCCACTTGTCAATTCTGAAAAGTACAGCAAATTTGGAATATTTGTCTCTTTGTTTTGCATTTTAAAAGTACCATTTATCTCTAGGTTTAATTGCCCTTAGTTACTTGTGCAGAAGGTAACTAGAGCTCTTTTGTGTACCTTAAAGATTTTCATAGTAATTCTCTTATTGTATTACAAAGTATGGTAATGACATGCAACTATTGAAAGACTTCATTTTTATATTATCGATGATTTTCTGTATCTGACATTCACATTGTAGAACCTCCTGCCTATAATTTCATTTATATATTAAAAATTCAGGAAGTATAGTTTTTCATATTGGTTTATATAAACAGATCAGAACAGATTAAGAGCTTGATTATTTTTTTCTCACACCTTAGTGAATAATTTTGCCTGTTCTCTGGGATTTGGGACCCACTTTGGGGAATATATGTATAGAAATATTGAATGTAATGAGATCAGTTAGATCAATTAGATTGTGGTAGTTCTGATATGAAATGGTGATGATAGCTTGGATGGTTCGAAGTGGACAAATAGGAGAGATATTTAGGCCACAGAATCAGTGAGTGCTGGTGATTGATAGGGTGAGTATAAGAGTTTAAGGAAAGGAAGAAGTCAAAGGTAACTCCCAAGTATCTGACTGGAGCAACTATATGGATGACAGTTAGTCAACACGGGAAGTGAGAAGAGGAAAGGGGGGATGAACCAGTTTGGGACATATTAAATTTAAAGTGTCCATGATACATCCAAGTGAAAAAGGATGAGTAGATGAATAGATCTAGAACTTGGAAGAGATAAAAATGTGGGAGTATATGGAATTGCCAAGGGAGAGTATATAGAATGAGAAAAGGCTTCTTTATATATACTAGTCAAATTAATTAAATACTACACAATCATGTATTAAAACAGTGTTTTGTTTTGTCTTAACTAGGAGTGTATGGTGATGTACATCGAGTGAAGATTATGTTTAATAAGAAAGAAAATGCCTTGGTTCAGATGGCAGATGCAAATCAAGCTCAGCTAGGTATTAGTGATTTTTAATAATTATGAGAATATGCCCCTTTTGTATGTGTATTTTCCTTCAAAATAAACAAACATAGCTAGTGATAATGTAACTTTACAAAAGAGTACCTTCTTGTGGTAATGCCCTTATTATTATTTGCGCCTGTTTATACTTTAAGATTTTAAAATATTGATTACTCTCTCTCTTTTTTTTTTTTGAGTTGGTGTCTCATTCTGTCCACCCAGGTTGGAGTGCAGTGGCACACTCATGGCCACCGCAGCCTCAACCTGCTGGACTCATGCGATCCTTCCGCCTCAGCCTTCCAAGTAACTGGAACTACAGATGCATGCCATCATGCCTGGCTAATTTTTTGATGTATTGTAGAGACTAGGTCTCCCCAGGTTGCCCAGGCTGGTCTTAAACCCGTGGGCTCAGGTAGTCCTCTTGCCTTGGCCTCCCCCAGTGCTGGGATTACAGGAGTGAGCCACTGCATCCAGCTATTCTTTTATATCTGAAGTTCATTTATCTACTTCATTTATCTGTACATCAACATTTTGTTGATGTATAGAGTTTTGACACTAGGGCTTTTTTCATTAAGTCTAAACTAATAAACATGACTTGTTTTCTGTCATTTTGTTTGTTTTTTTTCTTTCCAAACTAAATTTTCTAGAACTGTTAAGTGGCTTAAAAGTTTGGGTGCATGTCATAATGATGGTGCAAAAATTATTGTTTCATGGCCTCACTGTTATAGGGGCAATTAAAATATCACTGCTACAGCCAGGCTCGGTGACCCAGCCTATAATCCCGCGCCTTTGGGAGACTGAGGTGAGTGGATTGCCTGAGCCTGTGGGTTCGAGACCCGCCTGGGCAGCAAGAGCTCATCTCTACAATAAATCAAAAAATCAGCCGGGCGTGGTAGCGCATGCCTGTAATTCCGGCTACTCGAAAGGCTGAGGCGGAAGGATCGCCGGAGCCCAGCAGGCGAGGCTGCGGTGGCCGGGAGCGGCCACTGCACTCCAGTTTGGGCGACAGAGTGAGACTCCAACTCAAAAAAAAAAAAATATTACTGCTTAGATGTCTTATACAAATGTTTGGCTTGAGATAAAACTAATATATTCAGTAACCATTTCATGAACATTTATGTTCCAAGGCACGCTCAAACTTTATAGCACTCTGATTGGAAAAATAGTTTTTTGTTTAGTAATTTATGGTAATATAGACAAATATTACTGAGAAATCTACTTTAATGCCCAAACTTTTAAAAATTTCTTCCTGTATACTAGCAATGAACCATCTAAGTGGCCAGAGACTTTATGGAAAAGTGCTTCGTGCTACACTGTCCAAGCATCAAGCAGTTCAGCTTCCTCGAGAGGGACAAGAAGACCAAGGTCTAACTAAGGATTTCAGCAATAGTCCTTTGCATCGCTTTAAAAAACCTGGCTCCAAAAATTTCCAGAATATCTTTCCACCATCAGCCACTCTGCATCTTTCCAACATTCCGTATGTACCTAATAGGTTGCTATTTATTTAGATGATAAGTAATCTACATATGTGATTCGGGAAAGATAAAAACTGAAATTGCTCTAACCTAGCAGTTGTCCTAGTTAACAGTTTTGTTTGTTTGTTTGTTTTGAGTCGCAGTCTCAGCCAGGCTGGAGGGCAGTGGCACACTTACAGCTGCCACAACCTCAGCTTGCTGGGCTCAGGTGATCCTTCCACCTCAGTTTTCCAAGTAGCTGGAACCACAGGCACATGTCACCACATTCGCTAATTTTAACAGTTTCTTGTAGATAATTCATTGCCATCATGCCTTAAGAAAGCTATATCTAAAGTCAAACAACATACAAGTTTAAAGATACCAGTGTTTTAAATTTTTCTTTCCAAATAGAGAATTAGCACCTAGTTACCTTTCAGTAAAAAAAGATCATAAAAATAGATGTATGTAGAAATATTCCTTTGATACATCCCTTTATAGAAGTAGTGGTGCTTATGTAACCAGTACAGCAAAATCAAATAATTTGTGTATCTAAGAACTTGGTCAAAATGAATTCTGTACTTCTTATTTATAAGCTGCAAAGCCATATATATGTTAATCACCTAAAGGCTATTTTTTACATAAAAGTTATTTTCCTGTGATCACTCTGTAGGTCTCTTTATTAACCAGTGTTGTATTGGATGTGTGCTTTAGTTGTCTTCTAATGCAGGAATTGACAAACTGTAGCCCATAATGATTTTTGTATGGCCCGTGAGTTAAGAATGATATGTTTTAAAATGGAAGAAAAATATTTTGTGATATGAGAAAATTATATATTATTCAAATTTCACCTTCCATAAGTAAAGTTTCATGTAACAACAAGTACACTTGTTTCATTTACATAATATCTATGGTTGCTTTTGAGGTACAGTAGTAGCAAAGCTGAATAGTTGCAGCAGAGACTGTATGACCCACATAGCCTAAGATATTTACTATTTGACCCTTTAAAGAAAACGCCTGCAATCCCTATCCTAATACTTGAAATCCTTAATCTACAAAATTGATAATTTTGTTCATAGACTTTTGAAATTGTTAAAACAGGCCAGATTTGGTTCTTATACCTGGAATCCCAGTACTTTGAGAGGCCAAGGTGGGAAGATTGCTTAAGCCCAGGAGTTCAAGATCAGCCTAGGCAACACAGTGAAACGTCATCTTTACAATAAAAAAATTAGCTGGGCATAGTGACACACACCTGTAGTTCTGGGTGCTTGAGAGACTGAGGCAGAATGATTGCCTGAACCCAGGAGGTCAAGGCTGCAGTGAGCCATGAGTGTGCCACTTGCACTTCAACGTGGGACAGAGTGAGACCCCCAACTCAAAAAATAAAAATAAAGGAATTGTTAAAATATTTTTAAATGGCAAATTTTAAGTTAAATTTTTAAAATTTAAACTAATACATAAAAGGGGATAAGGTTAGGAAAAGAAAGATAAAGCCTGGGGGGAACATATTGTGTGTAAAATTGTAAAAACTGAGGGGATGTGAAGGGGTAAAGTTCCAGAACATTACTGAGAATGAAAATGAGAGCTGAATAGGAATAGAAAATAATTACCCAGGATAGTGTTGAAATTCCCAACCTCCCTGCTAGTCTCCAGTTAAGCTACATGGAGAAAGCTTGAGTCCAGATTGGACAATGGATCAAACCTCATGCCAGCTAGGAAACTGGTGGAGTCAATAAAAAAATGTGTATTACATCATTCTAGAAATTTAGCAGCTCATCACTGTGGAGTAGGGTACCAGGGCAATAATAGCCAAGTAATGAGTATTTTGTTGGTGCTTTACACTTGTTGCTTCAATCTCCATAACAACTTTTAAAATATATATGAAATATAATATACAGAATGTAAAATTTACCATTTTGACCATTTTTAAGTATATAGTGTAGTATACATTCACATTATTATGCAGCCATCACTTCACATCTGTCCATTTGCAGAACTTTTTCATCATCCCAGACTGAAACTCTGTGCTTATTAAGCAGTAACTCTCTGTTTTCCCCAAATCCCAGGCCCTGGTAACTACCATTTCACTTTCTGTTGTTGTCACTGTTATTCATAATAACCCTTGAATTAAGGTCATTAGTTTCATTTTATTAATGAAACAGAGACTCATTAAATAACTTAAAGTAGTATACAAAGTGAATGAGGAATAGACTGTAAACTCAAATCAGTCTCCTTACAGAATTGTTCTACTAGCCTTGCTGGCAGTCATAAGAAGTTACTCTGCTTTTATTCATGTGATAGACTGCTATATTAGTTATGTACAGCTGCATTAGCAAATCATCCCAGATCTTCACAATTTAGATCACAGTAGTCAATATTAATCATCTCGCACTGTTACTCTCAGTCAGGAATCCAGAAGTGGCTTAGGTGGATGGTTTTGGCTGTGAGTCCTTCCTAAGGTTGCAGTCAAGATGCAGGGGAGGGCGTAATCATCAGAAGGCTTTACCTAGACCTATAGGATCTACTTCCAAAGTGTCTCAGTCATGTACTTATTTGTTGATAGAAGTCCTCAGTTCCTTCTCCATAGTGTCCTCATGAAATGGGAGCTGGCTTTTTTCAAAGCTAATGATTCAAGAGAGGGCATAGTAGAAACCACAATGTCTCTCAGCTTCAGAGATTACATGTTACCATTTCTACAATATCTAAGTGTTACAGAGGACATCTCTGTGTGGGAGGGGAATACCCAAGCATATGACTATTAGGAGGCAAGAGAAATTGGGTGCCATCTTAGAGCCTGGCTACCACATATAGACATTTAGAATTACCCTGAAATCAGCTGAAAATGAAAGTGCAGAACTCTGGTCTATAGCAGACAAGTCAGAGCTAGGAAAATAACTTGGCAAGTTGATTACTGAAGCCAGTGGTATGACTAATAAGAATAAATATAGCTTCCAAGCACAGCTGCATTTTTTAAAAAAAAGAATATAGAACGATTTCCTTGCCCTTTATATACCTGCCCATGTCTTCTGCAAATATTGAAACAAAATCCCATTGCTTGAGAATGTGTGTATGTCAGTTTTGAACATTTTTTCAGGACCTTCCAATTTAAGTGTTATGTGGCTTAGTAGTTCTGTTTGAAATATAAAATACCTTAGAGATTTAATGATTGCAAGAGTTAATCTTTGCTTCATTTGAGAACTCACTTTCTCTGTGATGTTTTCACAGCCCTTCTGTTACAGTGGATGATCTGAAGAACCTTTTCATAGAAGCTGGATGTTCAGTGAAGGCTTTTAAATTCTTTCAGTAAGTCTTCCCTTTCAATAAATACATTAATATTATTTAATATGGTATGTAAATTTTAAAGGTATTTCAGTGAAGCTTTCTGGTGGGGGAAGAAATTTGAAAGCAAAATTAATTATAAGTCCTTTTTTTATTTCTTATACCATTTTCAGGAAAGATCGCAAAATGGCACTCATTCAGTTGGGATCTGTGGAAGAAGCAATTCAGGCTCTCATTGAACTTCATAACCATGACCTTGGAGAAAATCACCACCTCCGAGTTTCCTTCTCAAAATCTACAATCTGACTTTTCTGTGAATTTTCTCCTAAAACTGGACCATAATTTCAGTAAAACTTACTTCAGACATAGACTGAAGCAGCTCAAGACCAATTCTGCCTCTTTCACAAAAATAACTCTGAGTTTGATATTCAAGTATATTTAAAAACAAGGGATGTTCTTTTTTCTCTTTTCTCCCCCTGCCAATCAAATGTTTTTCTTTTGTATCAAGGTTTGTATGAAAATAACCTTCAGGAAGAAAAAATCAGGAAAAAATACTTTTCAGTAATTTAATTCCCTATGTTAAATCAGATTTCAAGAAGATGAACTTTCTTTTAGTTTGGGTTCTTATCAGCCTTATACATTTCTAAACTCCTTTGTACTTTTGAAAAATTTAAACATATGGACTTTTAAAATTACTTGATGTAAGTAATTTAAATGACTTATGACCAAGTTATTAACCTTAGGATTCAGAAGTTCGACCCTTGTAGAAAATTATGTTTACTTATAAATTGTATCAGATATTTGCCATATTTTGATGGTTGTTATACATAAACACATTGAGTTGTATTGGGAGCAGATTTATAAACCTGCATGTTTTCTTTGAATGATTTCTTTTTTTCACTGTAAGACACTCCTTTGAATAATGCCTGTCTTTAACTTTTTAAGACTATGGAAAAATGAAGTGTCTCAACTGTCCCCAGGGAAATTAAGTGGAATTCAACTAGGAACTATTCAGAAGTCAGAATAATTGGTAATTTTGTTAGGAAAAATCATGTTTTAAATTTCAAAATGACTTGTTTGTCAAGTAATATAATGTGATCTTGGAAAATTTTAAAAGAAGGTAATCCTACTTATAAACTACTTTTTTATAATTGTTTTCAGAAAAAGTTTACAGTCTTAAGGAAAATATTCAGGTCTATCATGGTTTGACAGATTTTTTAAAAGTTATTTTTGGTAAGGTCTTCTTTTAGAAAAAAAAAATTAATCTCAAGGGTTTTTTGTACCACTATAATCTCTAATACTTATTCAGAATTACTGTGTATTTACTTAATTTCTTATTATGTGCCTTATTATGTGCTTAAGATACAATAGGTTAGAGTTTTATCTGAATATCTTGAAAACTATATTGTGGGCTTGGTGAGTTTTGGTTTTCTTTCCCTGTTTTGGTAAGGATTTAAAATTTTTTTTCATTGCAGTTTTAAGTGGTTTTCAATAAGTAATAGTTTTTATTCAAATCTTTGGTGCTTTGGTGCAGAGAAGGGGTAGGAAGGGTGAATGGTTTGGGGAATAATTCAGTGCACACCTGTAGGCCTCTTTACATTGTGATGATAGTGGCTAGTGCCAGTTATTGCAAACCAGTTTGGGGCTATAGAATATCTTTATCACCCATCAGAATTTGTCTCAGGATTCCTTGGCTTTTCTCAGTACTCAAGTGAGAACTTGCTTTTCTTTGTTAATGTAGTTTCATTGCTGAGTGCCCACGAATTTGAAGTATGAGAAAAGGTGGGTTATTTCTCATATTCTGTCCCTCTCCTTTTGATTGAATGTAAGAGTACATTTTCATGTTGCTTCAGTGATTGTATAATGTAAAATTGTTTCCTTTTAGTAAGAAACTTTGCTTTTGTTAATTATTTTTTCAATGCTTGGTCAGTTTTTTTTTAAAGCAGAATTTATCAAAAGAGTTATTTTTGTTCACTCCTTTAACATTTTTCAGATTCTCTAAGTGGCTCATTTTATCTTTAAAACAATATCTTGCTGGGCATGGTAGTGCATACCTATAGTCTCAGCTACTTGGAAGGCTGAGGCAGGAGGATCACTTAGCCCAGGAGTTCAAGACTGCAGTGTGCTATGATTGCTCCTGTGAATAGCCACTGCATTCCAGCCTGAGCAACATAGCAAGATTCCATCTCTAAAAAGAAAAAAAAATTTAATCTCTTTGCTACATTAAAGCTTTTCATTTGAACATAGTGAAGTTTTTACAAAAGAATTTTTACCAAAAAACAGAGATTACAAGAGATACTATAGATTGTTTGAAAAGCAGAATTCACCCACCACTGAGCAACAGTTAGCTGGTAGAACAGGAAGGAGGATACCAAGTTAAGACCTTTCAAATGAGTTAGTTTAGTACTGGCTGAATAGATAGGTATAATCATGTATGTAGTTGTGTGTGCATTTTTTTTTTTTTACTTATGAAAACATATTTTTACCTAGATATGGTATGGAAGGGAGGAAAAAAGGTCTTGGAGAAATCTCCCAAAATTTGCTTTTTTTTCTTTCCACGCAGGTACTATTATAATTTTTAGTGCCACATTAAATTGGATCATTTCATTTGTTTTGAACTAGGAATTACTGTGTAATTTATTAATTCTCATAACGTTCAGCGTAAATGTAGCAAAAGTTGCTAATAGCAGAAGGGAGATCATAATGTGTTGAGTGTGATTTTGCAGTAGAGAATAGCCTTTAAATCTGAGAGAGAACATCTGAATCCTTTTCAGAGATTTGTATAGGGGTGTGTGTGTGTAGATAAGTATATATACATACATACACTTTTCTAAAGTTGTATATACATATGCACATTACATACATTTTAATTTATTGACAAAGGAAAATTAGCCAAATTAAGATTTGGAAAAGTGGGATGTTCTTGTTTTAAAATAGTATGTTTGCAATCACCAGTTTGTGTCTAAAATTAGCTATAGCACATGGATGTTGCCCATATTGAGCTATTTGCTTTTGGAATTATAGAGGTCTACAGTTCTGTGTTGGCATCGTTTTTGTAAAAAAGAGTTAAAAATATCAGGGTGGTGGAAAAACTAGATCTGTGTAGTTTTGTTTTGGCATGTATGTATTCAGTATCTGCTAGCAATGGCTTCTTTTTCTTTGTTAATCTATCGTAATATGCTATTTTTAAGTTTATTTACTTTATCTTAAGAGTATTGTCTTATCATTTTCAAGGTGTCTTGACTTTTACACAAAGTATATATATTCAGGACTTTGAAAAATAGCAGCACACATTTAACAGTAGCAAATTATGCCAAATGATTTACTTTGAGATCTGAATAACGTGTATAACAGTAAAATGTGTTTTGTGTAAAATACAAATAGAAAAATGACCCAGTATTTTAATTGATACTTACTGGAAAGTATCAGAATTACCCAGTAGCTCTTAGAGAATGCCATAAATTCTTTGTTTAAGACAATATGGTAATCAGTCATTAGAAGTAATGCTTTTGATTTACTATTGAAAGTTGCAGAACTCACAATTTTGAGAGACACAATTCTGCCTGCCTAATTCCTTGTGGGAGCAAGAGCAGGGCCTTTCGTTCCACCTAGAATGACGATAATGGGTTCTGCTTTAGTTGATAAGCAGCAGCTCTTATGAATGTCTCTGTTCAGTTTCATAGAAACTTTTCAGTCTCCTTGTCATCAGTCAGCAATATTTGAATATTGAGTATATTGTCATACAGTTTCTCTTCTCTTCCCACTAAATCTTTTGGGGCAAAAAGTGACAAACTCAAAAGTACATGTCTTCCCCTCCCCCCATGAGTCATTTAAAAGCCTAATTTTGCCAAACCATCACCTATCACTTAGAAAACCTAATGTGTACTGCTATTTTTAAAACCAAAAAGGACAGCACGATGATGCATAAAGATGATGCATAAAGCATTTTTCTTAGCCTTTCCTTTGTTTTGATCTGTTGTTAAAGAACAAAACTGCCAGACTTAACATATTCTATTGTGCTAAAAGAACTACAACTTAGATTGCACAAAATTTAAAAATAGAACTCAACTGTCTTAAAAGAGTTATATTATCTACAGGATTATTTGCAGTCTTTTTTCAGAGCAAATTCTAACAGCTAGTTGTGAATGGTTTAACAAATAGAAAATTATTAAAATCTTAGTTTTGGGGGTTTTATAGTGGGAGAAAAAACAGGACCAAAGTATATGTGCCTTCTTCAGTAGTCTTAATTGACCTTTTCTTCCTATTTGAGACTAAAATAGTATCAGTATTCTGGTTTTCAGGAAACATATACTATACAGTTTTAAAAGAATGCTGTTCCACAAACTTCATATAAGCAAAGAATTGTAACTGCATAAATGAAGTCTCAGTTACACTTCTGCCTTTATCACATAATATTCATTATAGAGCATTGTGCAGGTCCAAGAATAGAGCTGCTCTAAATGTTTGTGGTAGTTACCTTAGTTTTTGTAACCTGAGGCATATGTTCCAGAGAACAGGGATATTTGTCTGGTCCAGTGACCTTGGTGATAATAGTCATGATTGAAGGCTGCTTATGGCAAGCTTAAATCAGCACTGTCAACAGACTTTTTTTGTTCTATTATTTTCAGTTTTTGGATCTATGTTGTGGTTGTAATAACAAATATTTAAATATTTAAATGCCATTAAAAAAATCATACTCTGGCCTTTTTTTTCCTTATGATTGTTACCCAGATCTTTCAACAATTCATCCCACATCCAGAAAGTACCAGTTATAAAGATTGCTGACCAAGCAAAGTTTTGCATCAAAATGTCACCTCATTGCTCTGACCAAAGACTAACTGTTCTGGTTTTAACTCCTCTGTGAAGCATTTTCCCCAAGCTCCTTTCTGAAAGAAGACCCAATGCAGAGCGGCCTTTACTTTCTATTTCCTATGGGTGAATAGACTACTTAGAGAATATGGGAATTTAAATGTGAACGGGATGGATTAGGATGACAAGGGTTTGATGGGTGTTTTCAGTACTGTATTTAAGGGAAAAAAATAGCACAGCTAGGAGCCTCAGACATTCTCTCATGTTTTAGTAGTCTGTTCATAAAATTCCCCTTTTCGGTTTGTGAGAATGTTCATCTAACAGAAAAAAATGCTGTAAATATTTGTAACAACATTTTTTTTAACCAGGCCAAAAAAGAAAAAAAAAGGGGTTTTGGGAACAAGTTAACATATAAAGTGGTTTTATATAAAACATCAATTGTCTTGTATATTTTGATAAGCAGGAGTACCAGCTTTCATTTGTAACAGAGTTTGTGGCATTGGAAGAAAAGGATTCTGTGACTGTTGAAGTGAATTATGTTATAAATGCAAAGAGAAGATAAATATTAAAAACATATTTTCTAAATGCGTAGTGCATGGTTAATTCAAGCTTCTGTACACTACAATATCCATTTTCATTCAGTTTGTATATTTGCTGATTATTACTTGATATCGCTAATCTCTTTTCCTAACAAGTATAGCATTGTAGCATGCCTTTTAATAAATGTCATGGCATCTGTACTCTCTTAAAATTTTTCTGTGTTCTTGTCTGTACTTTGGGTTTCCCCTTGTCTTCCTGTAATTCTAATGATGTCATATTTTCTTTTCTTTTTCATAGCCATCCATCTAAACGTGTCATGGTTAGAGAATAGCAAGCACATATTCAAACAACTTTCAAAATGGGAAAATTAATCTATCAGTATAGGAATAATTCTCATTTTGAGGAGCAAATGCTTTTCTAATCTTATAATGCGCCTTCTTCTCCAACATATTGCCCCCCTTTTGTGCAAGTACATGTTACTGTGCTTGCTTGTTCACTCTCATTGTGTGTGTGCGTGTGTGTGTGTGTGTGTGTG